TTGTAGTTATACTTTTTTTAGTTAAAGTTATGATTTAAATTTTAATACTATTATTTTCTATAGGTGCTAATGATGTAAGCAATGAAGTTAATGTTGATGTGGAGAAGGGTGGAAAGAAGGAAGGTAGTATAGAGGAGGCTGTAGTAAAGGAGGTTGTAGTAAAGAAGGGTGTTGTGAAAGAAGTTGTAGTAAAGGAGGGTGTAGTAAAGGAGGGTGCAGTAACGGAGGCTGCAGTAAAGAAGGGTGCAGTGAAGGAGGTTGTAGTAAAGAAGGGTGCAGTGAAGGAGGCTGCAGTAAAGAAGGGTGCAGTGAATAAGGAAAAAAGTGAGGATGAGGGTTTTGAGTAGAATGGAGGTGATGAGGATGAGGGTTTCAAGCAGGATGGAGGTGATGATGAGGAGGGTTCAGAAGAGGGTGGAGGTGATGATGAGGAGGGTTCTGAATAGGATGGAGGTGATGATGAGGAGGGTTCAGAAGAGGGTGGAGGTGATGATGAGGAGGGTTCTGAATAGGATGGAGGTGATGATGAGGAGGGTTCAGAAGAGGGTGGAGGTGATGTTGAGGAGGGAAGTGAGGAGGATTCTAATCAAGAAGTAAGTGAGGAAGAATATGTTGAGAGAAATAAGAAAAAAAGAAAATTGAGTGTGAATCTATTGAGAGAAATGAGAAAAAAAAAAAGAAAATTGAGTGTGAAAGCAAAGAAGCCAGTAAAGGATGATCGGCGTCCAGCTGAGATAAATCTAGTAAAGGATTATCGTCATCCTGGGAAAAAACAAGCTAAGGCATCCAATAATGCTCCTGTTGAGAAAAAAGCAAAAAAAGATTATCGTCGTCCGTCCAAGAAGAAGCGGAAAATGGTGAAGGACAATATATGTCCTACTGAGAAGGAGCCAATAAAGGGTGATCGTTATCCGGCTAAGAAGAAGCGGAGAGTGGTTAAAAAGGCTGTTAAAATTGAAAATAGAAACAGACTGGATTCTGATGTTGAAGAAGATGAAGTTGTTGCAAGTATATATCAGAGAGAGATGATTCTGATTCTAATGTTGAAATGTAATTACCCTTTTATGAAGTTATTGTTATTATTTCTAAAGTTATGGATTATGCTCCTAAAGTTATGGACAATGCCCTTAAAGTTATGGACATTGTGTTAGTAAGATAGATGTGATAATTAGTTTATATGCTGATACAATATTTATGTAAAGTTATGGATAATGATATTAAAGCTATATTTTAGTAAGTCTGTATAGTTATAATTTTATGTTTGCTAAAGTTGCATTTATTATTTCTAAAGTTGTATTTATTCTCTTTAAAGTTATAGTTGTTCATTTTATTTTTCCTTTCTTCGTTTTTTTTATTCAAATTGGATAAGTTTTTCTGGACCCATTGCAAACTGCACACATTAGTAGATCTCATGATTTTTTTTTTCTGATGAGCAAGTTAAATCTGTTGTTGAAATAGGATTTGGTGGTTTGTTGGATTTAAAGTTGACTAGAACTGTTACAACTTTACTACCTTGGTTAGTTGATCATTTTGATCCTGTTAGTTGGATGTTTTCTATAAGTCCTAGGAAGGAATTTGTTATTTCTCCCTATGATGTTTATGATGTATTTGAGTTACCTTTGAATAATGGGATGGATGTTTAAGAGAGTACTAGAAGTACTGATCTTCAATTGAAACAAGAATGGAGGAGTATGTTTGATGTTGCTGGTAGTGTAGGCATACTTTTGCATAAATTAGAGGCTAGGATTGTTCAGTTAAAGGATGGTGGGGAGTTGTTTAAGAGACTATTTGTGATGGTTGCTTTTGCTACCTTTTTAACACTTGTTGCAAATGAAACTGCTAATTTGAGTTTTGTTAAAGCTCTTGAAAATGTTGATGAAATTAAGAATTTCAATTAGTGTAATTATGTTCATGAAAGGTTGTGTAGGGCTATTTTGAAGTATAAGAAAAGTAAGAGTCAAGACAGTGTTGGTGGTTGTATTTTGTTGTTAAAGGTTGTGTATTTTCAGTGTCTGAAGTTCAGGAATGAGGCACAAGATTGTAGTTTGCCTCTTATCAAACACTAGACTGATAAGAAAATCAATGATAGGGTGAAAAAAGAAGTTGAGGCTAAGTTCTTTGGTTGTGGTATTTCGGATACTACTACATACCCTATATCTCATAATTTTTTGTTCGGAGATCAGCTGCCTCTTCAAATTGCACCTGAAAAAGCTAAGCAAACTGAAGTTTCTCAAGTTGATAATGCTGATGATGCATCACTAGGAAAAAGGATCATTAAGTTTAATGTTCCTGATAGTATGACATCTGATGAAGAAATTCACTCTGTTGCTACTGATGTAAGTTAAAAGTTACACTTATTAATGCTAAAGTTATACTTTTTATGTTAAAAGTTATCCTTATTGTAGCTAAAGTTATCTTTCTAATTATTCACTTATTATTTTTCGGGCTATTCATGAGCAATTTTTGTTTATGAAGTGGAATATGGAATTTGTTATAAACTATCATTTGAAGAAGGTTGAAAGGTTAAAGAAGAATGATGTGGCTCGTGCTTCTAGTAGTTCATCTCCTGACTTACAAAGTCAGGAATACGATCTAAGAATTTTTGAGATTGTTGATGAAATTGTTGATATTGTGTTATCAGTGAAGAAATTGTTTGGAGGTATTTCAAATATTTCTTGTGATGTGAATGTCGGGGGTAGGGAGAATGGTGGAAGGGTGGAAAATGTTCCTGGGGGTGATTTTGATAATAATATTGTTCAGAATGTGAGTGAAAAGATTAACCTGAAGTATGGTGAAAGTTCTTTCTCATCTATAATCATGAATGCTTTGGGTAATGGTAAGGCAAAAATATATGTTGAATGTGGGCCATGTGATGTTGATGTTGAGTTTGTTGGACATGTGATGAAAAGCAATAAGAAGTCTTTGAAAAAATTACCATATCATCTGATTATTGCTTCTTAGATGATGTTCAAGTGCTGAAACAATAAGTTATTTATATTTTAGTTAAAGTTATATTTTTTTTTGCTTAAAGTTATGTTTTTATTTCTTAAAGTTATTGTTTTTTTTTAACTGGTTTTTGTTTATTTAGGGAGTGTTTGGTGTGGTTTGATCTTACTTATATTGTTCCAAGAGAAGATATGGTGTCTTTAGCTGCTAATTTGGAGATTTTCCAATTTGCTATTGAGTGTTGGGCAATGTTGTTGAATAAGAATGAAAGAATGCGCGACGGAGGTCCTAAAAAATTATGTTTTGGTGTTAAATGCAGTGTAAGGTTTATGTAAAGCTATATGTATTTTTCTTTTAATTGATGTTTGTATAGTTAATTCTTATGGATTTCTTTTTGTCTTATTGTTATTTAGGGTAACTTGGTAAGGCTTTCAGATGATGAAAATGATATTGATGTTATGGATCAACTTCAAGTTTGTTGGAAGGAATGGATTCAAGTCACTAACAACAATTTTGATATCAGTGTTGTTGATTTGGTAATAGTTATTTCTACTGTTGTGTATTTTAATTCACATGTGTCATCATTTTTTTTTATTTCTAATTCTCTGTATATTAAATTACAAATGATAGGTTTTTGTTCCTATTAATGCGTATCACCACTTCTTGGTTTTTGCATTGAATATGAAGAAAAAAACCATGCAATTATTGGACAATTTGGTTTATAAAGAAGCTAATATGAAAAAAATTAAGCATTTGTTTGTAATATTGGTAATTAGTTTAAATTATTGTTAAAGTTATACTTGTTTTTGTAAAAGTTACACTTATTTTGGTTAAAGTTACACTTAAAAGTTACACTTTTTTTTTATTATATGTTTAATTATTGTACTTTGTTCTTCCTTTTGTAGTGTGATCATTTGAGCACATTATTCAATAGTCTTGGTCATCCTGAATTTAGTGAAATTGGAGATTATGCAATGAAGGAGGTGATGTTCAGTTGGAAGAATAATAAAGGATATGATCAAGATTGTGGAATATATTCTATGATGTGTATGTTGTTGTTTGAAAGTGCTACTTTTAGTTGTGATGCGTTGATGCGGGTTAGTTGCAATTTTTTTAGTTAATTTTTTTTTTTTTACTGTGATTACATGATACTAATATATATAGGTCTTAAATACAGTCAAGTTCAAGAGTTGTACTTTGAGCAGAGATATGTGCAACACTGTAACTGTCTGATATGAATGATGGCAGACAATTGGTGTTGAATTCTTTATGCAATTTTAATTCGCGTCGATTGGAGCTAGCACCTGAATTTGCTAAAAGGAGAAAGCTGATGATGAAACAAAAAAGGAAAGAGGAAAATACGGCAAAAAAATTAAGTAAAGAAGTCAAAAAGAAAGATGCCAATCAGAAAGAAAAATCTACCAAGGGGAAGTAAATAGTGTATTAGTAACAGTAGGATTTGTTAAGGGGAAGCTAATGTAGTTAGAACTTACAGCAATTTCATGCTTTTGTAAGTATATACTGATGCTTTTTTTATGTCTATTTTCTAATTGGAAGTCTTGGTTTGGTTAATGCCATGCTTTTGTCTATTAAATGGATGAATATTATGGTATTCTGTTAAAGTTAATGTAATTCCATTAAAAGTTATGGCTAATTCACTTAAAGTTTTAGAAATTATTTTTATAAATAGGAAGGAATCAAGATTATTAAAGTGCTAATATAATAGTTATGGATATTTCATAAAACGTTATGACTAATGCTATTAAAGTTGTAGAAACTTTTTTTTGTAAGAAGAAGTTAAGGATACTGAATCAAAATTATTATAACAGTTATGATATTTTTATTAAAAGTTATGGATAATGCAAATTAAAGTTAAGGATACTATTATTATAGTTATTGTAATTCTACTAAAAGTTATAGTTTTTTTAGCAAAAGTCATCATTACTTATACAAAAAAAAAAAAAATCAATATATTGTATTTAAAAGTTCAAGAATAATACAACAGTCTCAAATAGTCTAATATCAATGAATATAGTTCAAAATTAAAGAACAATTTATCTAAGATCAATCAAAATAGTCTCAAAATTAGGGGTTATAGCTCCAAACTCAAGTGGTGGTACTGCAGTCTTCTTTCTTTTCTTCTCTAGTGGTCCTCGTGGCCTTTTGTTCCTTGCTTTTGTTGTTGTACGTTCAGGATCTAACATAAGAGGTGCCTCAGTTGTTGTACTTGATGATGTAGCTTGGTTAGTCTCTGCTTCAGAAGCTTGGTTAGTCTCTGCTTTAGTAGCTTGGTTAGTCTCTACTTCAGTAGCTTGGTCAGTCTCTGCTTCAGTATTTTGGTTGGTCTCTGCTTTAGTAGCTTGGTTAGTCTCTACTTCAGTATTTTGGTTGGTCTCTACTTCAGTAGCTTGGTTAGTCTCTGCTTCAGAAGTGTCATTGATGGTTGTTAGTAGTTCTTCAACAAGAGAAAGGCTAGCAGCATAACTGTCCTCAATAAGGGTTCTCACCTCTTCATTCGATCGACTTTTCAATATTAGATTATAGAATTTTCTAGCCATGGTTTGACGCCAAGGTGTGTAATGATGTTGTTCAGGTTCTTCATTGTCACGTCTTTCCCAAATTGATGATTTTGCAAACTTTGTCCATCTCTTCTTTATATACTAATCTGGTATTCTCATCACTGAATGTAAGTGTAATATTCTGATGCAGTGGTAGCATAACTATCCAGAAGCTTCAAAGTTATTGCAAGTGCATTTAACTTGGTTGCTGTCAAATTCAAAAGTGACTTTTTGTTGCGACCAAGGTTCACTTTCAATTGCCACTAAATAGAACAAGGTGCTACCATTTTGCCAAAGCAATTTTGTGGTAGTTGCAATGGAATACCTAAATTCTTCTTCAAAATCTGTGAATAAAGACAAAGTGTAGATTTCAGATGCATGTTTCAGCAAACTAGATAACGGTATTGCTGATTATGCAGTTGATTTACTACATGAGAACTCATCATGTTTTTCCATGCTTCTCTAACGCTATATACAAGCTTTGAAAATGCTATAGAATTCAATCAAGCTTGTTGATCTATTTGCTCTAAACCTAATTGCATGATTGGTACTTTCACTTCGTTGGGAAGAGAAGATACCAGCTGAGAAGAAGTCTTTGCTTAGAGCTGGACACCACTTTTCTTTTAGATCATAAATTCTTTGGAACCAACTATCTTCTTGTAAATTATACTTATTAATCATTGAGTTCCATACAGTTTCAAACTCAACTTCAGTTACATATCGTTTCAAACAGTAGGAGAATGTTCTCTTAAAATCCTTGTCTCGTTTCAATGATCCAAATCTTGTAACAAAATTTTGTTCCAAATGTCATATACATAATCTATGTCTGACCTCTGGAAAGACCTGAATTATAATCAGATATATTTTTAGAAAAAAAAAGGTAACTACACAATAGAAACAAGGTAACTTTAAAACCTTTATGTATAACTTTAAATGTTACCTTCTATATTGCAGAGCACATTGCTTGATCTTGGTCTGTGAAGATTGAGATTTGGCATTTCCCTCCCATTGACCTTTTGAATGTCTTAAGAAGCCATACAAATGATTCAATTTTCTCATCTCCAATAAAAGCACACCCAAACATGCAATTTTTCCAATGGTTATTAATTCCAACAATAGGAGCACATATCAAATTGTATCTATTTTTCCTATATGTAGTGTCAAACACTACAACATCTCCATTGTTTAGGGTAAAAATACCTAGGTCCACGTGTCCCTATTAGGTGGTGACACGTGTCCCTATTAGGTGGTGACACGTGTCACCCTCAAAGGGGTTCAAAATGAACTAATCCTCTGTTGACACGTGGCACTCCCAGTCCAAAGGCAAAATATGGCCTTCTTGGCCCAATCCATGAATCATCCTACCAGCCTTTTGGGTCTCATAACCCAATAAGGGCAGTTGATTCTCAGACCCTATAAATGGGGAGATATCCTTATTTATGAGGGCATTCAGAAATATCCACACAAATCAGAGCAATATTAATTGCAGATATTCTCTCTCGGAATCCGAGAGAAACTCTTTACATTCTGCATTCTTATCTCCGTCCGTACACATACTAACTTGATCGTCAGAGGTGGAACTCCACCCAATCGGAGTTTCCGTGATTTTGCAGGTGCAGACGGTCGACATCCAATCATGGAATTGTAACTCTCCTGAGGGACTCCCAAAAAACTCCGAAACATTTGGCGCCGTCTGTGGGAGAGTACTTCTAAGATGGCTTCGCATGAGTCTGTACCGCCTGCTAATAAGAAACGACTTTTGGCCAGAGTAGAGGTCTATACAGACCAAGACAGTGGTGACGACTTCGATGTCGATACCTATGTGGCCGCAGACGGGTTACGCAGAACAAGACGCACCCGTTCCAAGGAAACAAGGGAACGAGGCGAAGACAACGCTAGTCCAAGTAACCCAATCATCAAGCCGGCTGGACAACCCCATGCGGTGGAGGGTGATGCCCCTGTTATAAGAGAAGAACTCATGAAATTCATGACAAGTTTCAAAGGGGAAATCAAGGACCTGATAAACAAGAAGACGACTGGCACCAACAGACATCAGTCGGCCAAGAAGCTTCTCCTTTAGGGAAAAAGCAAGTGAAGGACCGTATGCATACTCCTCACCCTAAACCAAAGGGGACGGATGGGCCTATGATTGATTTATCAAAATTCCATTTCCCAGAAGCAGGGAAAAGGAAGGTCATCCGGCAAGTTCAGCCGGATGGATCTAAAAAGACTTACTCGGATGCCCAGATGTTAATCTAGCAGAAGAGAAGTAAAAAATTGTCTGAGTCGGCTTTAACGTCGACTTATCCAGACAGTTTCCATAATACTTCGATGAGGTATTCGGAAACAAACCGAGAGAGTCAGTCACGCGGCTTGTCCGCCCGTACTGGCCCTCAAATCATCCAGCCGACTCCGTATGTGCCCCAGCAGCCATACATGTCGTATGGATCACCAAATATGCAGTCGGCCCTCTTTGGGGGTAAGGCGGCACAGAATGTCCAGCCAATGGACTGGTAGCTCCGGCTGCTAAAACTTGGGGAACAACCCTCGGCGTTCTCCAAGGAAATAACCAAGGTGGCTCAGCCGTCCAAGGTTATGAATGTGTTGGTTGGTACCTATGAAGGTACCACCAATCCGAAAGACCACCTAATGGCATACACCAACCTCATGTATTTACAGGGGTTGGATGACGCCACCTGGTGAGCGATGCTTCCCGGCGACATTGAAGGGCATACCCCAACGATGGTTTGGCAACCTGCCAGCCGATTGCATCAACAATTTCAAGACGCTTGCATACTTGTTCGCATTCAACTTCTCTATGAACATCCCTGCCAAAAAGACAAGTCTCGACTTGGGAGCAATTCAACAGGGAAATGGAGAAGGGCTAAGGTCCTACATCAGGCAGTTCAATCTGATGAGAATTTAGATTCAAGGGCTGTCTGACAAAGTTGCCACACAGACTTCTTCAAAGCTCTGAAGGACGGGTTGACCTTTAAGTTTGACCTCGTCAGGAAGAGGGTTGCCAATCTCCAAGAGGCTCTGATGGAGGCGAAAGCCTATATACAGGCGACTGAGCTTTGCGCCATCAAGCAGTCGTCGGACCCTAAAAAGTCCGACAAAAAAGAGAACCGGTCTGCTCAACCAGCTAAAAAAGAAGAGAGCAAGATAAGAAAAGAAGTCAGGGTGGAGGACCATTCTGGTCAGCCATTGCAGAAGAAGAAGAAAGAGTTAAAACCGTATGTCCCTAAGTACGAGTTCAATAAGGATTGTTACGCCATCCTCATGGAGATCAAATACCGGGTGACTATTGAGAAACCGGCTGCAATGAAAAGTTCTGCCAAAAGTCAGGACAAAAACAAATACTGTCACTTCCATGAGGATATAGGCCATGACACCAATGACTGCTATAGCCTCAAGCGGTTGTTGGACCGTCTGGCTGACAAAGGGGTACTAAAGTACTACATCCTGAAGTCCAGGGTGACCCTCAAAACAAACAGTGGACAGCAGTCCAAAAAATCAAACCAGCTTGCTATTAGCTCTGACACTGATGAAGAGCAGATTTATACTATAACAGAAGGTTTTACAAGAGAGGGTCCCACCATCCGAGGCACCAAGGACTACATCAGAAGGCTGGATTTCAACTCATTTAATGAGGGTCAGGCGTCGGAAGACTATTTTCCTAAGGTCGTCATTAGTGAGAAAGACCAGGGTAAGGTCAGGCGGCCATATGATGACCCCATAGTCATCGAATGCAAGGTCTCCAATCAATGAGTGGGTCGGATCCTCATTGAATCCGGGAGCTCGTCTGACCTTATCAGTACAGGTGCTTGGCAAAGCTCAAGTACAAGCCTAGCAGCATGCACAAAGTCTCTCACCCCTTAGTCGGTTTTGGGTGGAGTAATGTATCCGGTGGGGAGGATTGACCTACCCATCCGGCTAGGTGAAAAGGGGGAAGGACGTCACATGGTCGTCAAATTCTTGGTGGTTGAAGAATTGACCACCTACAATCTGATTTTGGGTCGTCCAACCCTTAACGAGTCCAAGGCAGTCATCAACCCATCCCACATGCTACTGAAATTTGAGAGGGATGATGGGTCAGTGGGTTCCCTGAATGGGGATCGGAATACGGCAAGGGAGTGTTATCTCTCAGATGTTAAGCCTACTGTGGCCGCAGCCGGCCAAGGCGAAGAACCCATTGACCTTGATGACTTCAAGGAAGTCGCACCTGCTCCTAAGGAAGCTGGCAAAAAAAGGAAGGCAGACCAGTTGGTGGCCGTCGAGAAAGAAAAGCAATAACAATCACTGATCGGGGAACGGTCAGATGATCTCCGTCCCCAGCCGGCTGGTGAACATATTGACATCCCTCTAGACGATGCACGTCCAAAGCGAACTGTTAAGGTTAGGACGACTGCTTTTGCAAAGTTGGGTGCAGACTTGCACCAAATGCTGAAAGAATTCAAAGACATCTTTTCCTTTGAAGTGGAAGAGATATCAGGCGTCAGCCCGGATCTTGCTGTCCACAAACTTGTCGTGGATCCACAAAAGAAGCCAGTTAGGCAAAAGAAAAGAAATCACAGCGAGGAAAGATCTCAGGCGGCTGCCGCCAAGGTCAAGAAGCTAATGGATGCCGGGTTCATTCGGCAATGTCACTACCCGGATTGGGTAACAAACGTTGTTCTTATGAAAAAGCCGAATGGTACCTGGCGCATGTGTGTTGATTACACAGATCTGAACAAGGCATGTCCGAAGGATAGCTATCCACTTCCAAAGATCGACAGTCTGGTCGACTCTACAGCCGGTCATGCGTTGATGAGCTTCATGGACGCCTACTCAGGCTTTCATCAAATACCCTTGTGGAAAAAAGATCAAGATCGAGAAAACGACATTCTTCACTAATCAAGGGTTATTCTATTATACCGTGATGCCGTTTGGCTTGAAGAATGCGCCTGCTACTTTCTAACGAATGATTAATACGGTCTTCATTAATCAAATTGGGAGGA